TGAAAGCTAAAGCACTGCGTGTCAAAGCTGTTTTCTTATGTTGCTCGGGAATACCAGTTTGCATTTTTGATGAAGTACCAGTGCACTAAATGCTAGTTGATGCACCTCTCTAGTGAATTAATAGGAAGTAGTGCATGGTACAGAAAGAGTTGTCGAATTGCTCGAATCTCACCGCTGTATATATCGGTCATATATAAATCAAAATGCTGGATAGATAAATGCAGATGTAAAAAAAGCGGATCGAAAATATGCATTTTTATATGCTAAAAACCGTGATTGACGCTTTGTATATCAGTTCCAAGCAATCTGAAAAAAATTTCCAAAATCTTACTTCATCCTAAGGGAATTCAGAGTGATCAGGAAACGAAACCCGCATTCCAGGCTATCGAAGTGATAAATTCCACTTCCATTGCCTGCAGAGAACAAGTTGTTGCTGGTGTCGCAGTGAGAGTCTGGAGTTATTAGCTCACAATTAAGTAGAGCTTGATCCTGACTGAAGTCTTAGTCGAAGATGAACATGTTACCGGATTCACATAGCGTCCGTTCGAACAGTTAAGCATGAGGAACGAATAAAATTCAGTAACAATCAACGAGAGTCAAAACCTCTTATATTATATCTACCATTGATCTACTAACTTTTATGCGCACTCGTCTACTGGATCAGTCGGTGGCTGCTGCGCATCTCACGAAGCAATGAATAAAATGAATCATTCATTATCCGTAACCGTTCTCATTCATATCCCCTTGTGCTTTAAAACACGCAACATGCATCCAGCCATCATCCATTCATTTACCTAATCCATCTTAATCACTGCGCACTGTCAAGTACTCTCATAAATCGTTCTCAAACAAACCGAAGAAAAAACATGTAAAAAAGATTATCTGAACCTCAGCGACGATAAAAACTTTCACATGAAATATTCCTTGTTTCAGTGTGCAACAAGTAAACAAGTGAAAACCTTTCAATTGAAGTGCCTTTCGAACATCTCATCTCAGCTAATGCATAAAGCTCTTAAATGTTCAAGTTTAAGCACCGTACAATTGCCCTATTCTTTAATCGCTGAATTTCTCAAGCACTTTCGCATATTTCTGCATCCTCACATTTCCACTCTGCCCTATTATTCATCCATTCACAGTCAACATCAAATTCGTGTTCTCATTCCTAATCGGCTTAGTTTTATTTCGTCATCTAAACGGCCGAATGCATGCCAGCTATTCATTCTGGATACAGCGCACTCATCCCCGGATGGATACACAATATTCACTTGTTTTGTTCGATGCATTTGGGTACTCTTTCATCGGTCATCATAACATTCACTTGATATGCTGACGTAAAAGAACATGAAATGCGTGTTGTTGCATTTTCGAGCATTCCGTTTGCATTGTTTTCACATTTCACGATTGTACCTACAATTTTATTGCGTCGCATTTCGATGCTTTCCATGTTCACTTATTCACGATCAGTCTGTTAGAGATAACTGTTAACGATACCTATCAGCTACTTTTCTTTTAATGCGATCACCATTATTTTGATTGCCTTCATTTGTTGTTCGCATAGTTTCTTATCGAAGCCTTGAAAACATTGTTGATTTAGCATGAATCTTTTGAAAATGAATCTCTCTTAACAACAGCATATAAAGTCTTGTTTATCTGAAAACGATAGAAGATGAAAAGAATCGATCAAGAAGCAAGTATCTTTGCTCGAATATTATGTGAATATTGATCACTTCGGTAGCCGGCAAAACGACAAATGTGGCTTGATATCATCTGTGCTTCAATCTTAGGAAGCCAGGGGAATACTACTTTTGTTCACACGTCTCATTCGACTCAATCTAAAGATTATTGCTGAAACAAAAGAAAATATTGAGACTAATTTAATTAGTTTACGAGATCATTGTATCACCAACAATTTCAGAGGACACATTGTGTACTCAGATCAGATATATTCCAATCAGAAGTAAAAGCTTTCGTATCAAATCTGAAATGATAGAATTTCACAACATTTTGTGATATGTCACAATATATGAGGAGGATTCATTTGCATTTTTGTTCTTCTATTTATGCAAACTCAGATATCCTACTCAGAAGGGATATCTAATCAGTGGTTGTCTCTTATCCCAGTGCAACACCACCCTTAGATATCCTACTCTCAGAAACAGCACCGATCAAAATAGATAATGTGCAATACATTGAAAATAGTTACTTCAGGCAGAACGATGTGTGCACATCGATTCTCTTCTCTGCACATTTCACCTAATGTTATACAAACTGTTAATGCTTCTTCATTCACGCAATGTTCGTCACTCTCAATTCAAGCGTTTATTCTCATCCGAATTGCTCTCATCTCGTCCGATCGTTTCGGCATTCTTGTGAGTTATTTTTGGCTCAGTTGCACCACGAAGAGGGAGATTAAAAATTCAGTCAAAGTGACGAATTCACTGAATTCACGAATTCACTTCCTGCAAGCATATAGATGTATGTGTGTGTGTNACAAGTGGGCACAACTGGGCACAAACAAGTGGGCATAATTTATACCTGAATTTTTTGTGCGTATTCACAGACTTCTCGTTCTCGTTTGAATGTGCGCACAAAGCATTTTCAGTGTTTGCCATTTTCTGTTTGCTTATTTTGGAGTAATAGAAGTGTCTTACGCCTGATGAGTTCATGAAAGCATGATCGTAATGTTCAAAAGCCAATCAAAAAATCAATTATCCGATTGTCCAGATCTGAGTTATTTCTTCTGATGAATCAGATTAGATACTTTTCATTCGGCGCAGATCAGTCGGAGTATGATATTTGGGGCTTAACCCAAGACTGTATCTGTCGAGATCATTGAGCAGATGAAGACAAGCCCACACCTTGATGGTCACTGAATCAATAATCTAGATTAGAATTTCGTAAAGACAGTTAATTCCCTACGCTATTACTGCTGATTGCGACGAAAAACGGATGTCAATGAAGAGGGATTTGTTGATGCGGAAAGGCATAAAGTCGTAATGAGCTGTAATTGACGATTAAATAAATTAAATTTTTTTCCCCCTAATCCATCGGGATTCTACCACTGAACAGGAATTATTTCACGTTGTCATTGAATTTTCCAATAGCTGATTTTATACGGATGTAAATGTGCATGAATACGCTTATTCACATACTCGTTTCATGCATGAATGGATGTTTTCCATTCGTTCAATCTTTAATGTAAGCAATCGTAAATGCTCATCGCGATGATAATGAAACGCTCCATTCATTAATCATAAAATATTTTAATGAGATGCGTTTTTTGCAGATGCAAATTGATCGTTCACCGAGTTAAAATGACCTGAACGCATAAATGACAACCAGATTCCACCATGACAATCTGACTGCTTTTGGCGCTCATGTAAGTTATACACTGCATTGCTATAAGCATCACCAATAGAGCATGATCATGATGCAATAAGTAGCACAAAATGGATCCGATATGATTGGTAGCATTTAAAATATCAATGAGGATGACAATAAAAACCAACGGAGAACGAGTGCAAAACCAAAACAGTGGCGATGTGCGTGGATTAAACTGAATTTATAATGAGCCATTGTGCGTGAATTCATGTTTGTTTTTTGTTTTTAGCGAGCGTCATTGCAATCAGTCGAGAGTGAATGGCGATCTGGCTATTTGTTTTTGATTTTGTTGATTGCGATGATCGTTTTCGGCAATTCTTTGGTGGTGCTTGCGGTTGTGTGCGATCGGAAACTGCGTACAATCACCACAAATAAGTTCATCGCAAGTTTAGCCGTCTCCGATCTGCTCGTTGGTATCGTTGTTATGCCGCTATCGCTTTATGCCAAGGTTCACTCCATGATATTTGCTTTGTGCACAAAACACAATGACACTTGGAAGCGAAATACTTGGATCGCGAATCAGTTTGCAGTCATCGCAATAATCAAATTGTGCTCCCGTTCAGAGCGCATTGTTCCAGTGCTGTACGATCATGCTATTGTATCAGTCTTAAAATGAAGCGATTCAACACTGAGAAGACAAGATTTGGCCATTTGTGATTGCTTGTGCTTCATTTATGAAGACACGACGCTATATTTTTGAAATGGTTTTGAATAAACTCGAATGCAGTGTGAAGACCATTGGGAAATATCACCTAATTGAAAATTTCGAAGAGATTTCGCAAATAAAGATTTGAATTTGAGGTTAACAACGACCGATGGGATTTGGGTCATCAATGGTGCCAATTCCATTTAGTGACTGGTGTTTTTTCGACAACGGCCAGCATTGTGCATTTGGTTGCTATTAGTCTTGACAGGTTGGTCCGATCCGATTGGTAATCATTCAATATCCATGTGATCTTCAGCAGTCGAAGTGAATGACTTGATGCCGTAGACAGGCTTGATGTCTGTGGCTTTTTGACCCATCATTCGATACTTTTTCAACGATTCCGCTGAACGAATCACCTTATTACGTCTTCACTTTCCAAATTGGACATATAATCCATCTCAACTGCACGTGCTTGAGATGTCCATCTATCCACTGCATTACCGCATGTCTATAATAAATCTGATTTCATCAGTAACTAAAAGTTCGATAATGAATTCGGAAATCAAGAGAACCATTTTGCACTTATTTTCAGCTCTCTAAAACCTCAAATAAATACCAATACTAACCACAACACATCGTTGCATTACAGTGGTCAGTATAAGATTGATCTAATATCCTCTCTAGAACAATCATACAAGTAAATCAATCGAGTTAATGGATTCAAGGTATTTCGCGATAATGTTTCCAACTGAATATCAACGTCATTCCGTATCCACTAGTGCCTTTCCGTACGTTGTAATGATTTGGTTGATGTCGTTCGCTGTCTCGAGTACCATTTTCATGGAGAAAACGATCGATGCGAACGGCGTTTGTTGGGTTGAAAATCCACAATATTTAGTGAGTCTTCTTTAACTGATTCAGTTCATTAAGAATCCATTAGATGTATCTTCAGTTGGCTTCGGCTCTCAACTGAATGTCAAGTCCAGCAATTCATCGTCGCCAGACATTGTGATACCAGCACTGAATTAAACAAGTGATTTGAGAAGAGATAATAAAATTGTCAATGCTGCTAAAATTAAGCTCACATTATAAGTGCTGCTCCGTACGGTTATTCGACGTCACCGTGCTCATTTCAGGTATTATCATCGATATTGTCTTTCTTCCTGCCGGGTGCAATCGTTGTTTTTCTTTACTTGAAAATATTTCGTAAATTACGTAGTCATCAATTGTATATGTTCGGTCAAAATGACAAGCAAAGACGCCGTAAAAACGTACTGTGCGGTGGTAATAATGGTCAGCAACGCCGTTCCTTACCACGTGTTATCATCGAAGAGGTATTAGTCGCTTTCGTATGATCAACTCTTTGCCGAGCAGCTTTTTCAAAAGCATTTTTGCATGATCGCTTGAAATTTAGCAGCCGTAGCAGCAGCAGCTTATCATTCTTTGCTGGAACAGAAAAAAGATTCTCGTTATGTGGATCTCAGCATCTCTTCGACTTCCCTATTGATCAATTTCATATGGAAAACTTATAACCAGATCAAACTCACAGCTAAGTTGTGCTATGAAAGTGGAGTAAGTGCAAATTGCAGGTACGAAGTAGACGTGGTTCTCGCCTCAGTCAGACCGGTAGCAACAACAGTGAAAGTCCGACAAGGCGGTCGAGCGCGAGTGGCTCTAAATCCGAACGATCGCCAAGCCAGCCGGACATCCATACTGCTCCCGTTATCCAAAAGAGGTATCCGCCTATTTTTTCATCACATCCACTTTCTTTGCAGCAAAATCTGCTAACTAATTGCAACAGCTAAACTTCATAATAACAGCTACCGGTACTGGAGTTATCATTGAAAAAACACGAATCTTTTGCGTTATTTACTGTGTGTTGTCCAGTCCTGGTCAGTTGCTTACATCCGGTCAGCTCGGCATAAGAGAAATGAGATCACCTTTTTGGAACGCCTATATCAGCCCCAGAATAGAGTTTTCAGATGGCGTTCACCAACGATTTGTGCCGAGACACTGGAGCATGATCGCTCAGTAGCGGCCAAAAAGCGTGTCAGTATAGTGCCAGATCCACCGAGTATGGACATCTCGCAGAATACTTATGCGACAAGCTTAGCGATTCGCGAGGAACATCTGGCGAATAGTGCTGAGGACGCACGACCGCCGAGTAATCGTCTCACAGACACCGGTATCTTACTCTTTTAATCCTATCCCCTGGCTCCGATGCAATTAACGAAGGCTGCCACATTCAAATCAGAAATCTCTAATTCACAACCAAGTGCTCAGCTCCTGCTTGGAGACATCGTAGAGCGTCTGATCGACGACGTTCGCATTGCTACGCACTGATTATGAAGTCGATCAGAGCATAGATCGGAAACATATCATTAAAGAGACGTAATCGTACTAGAAGTTGCTTCATATTCCGGACTTTTGATAGCAATCAATTTGATTGAAAACTCGTCAGATATGGAATATTTGGGAAAGCAATCGTTGTCCATCAATTTATCTGCATAGCTTAATAAAATTCGGAATCATTCCAAAACTGAAATACTCATCGTGAAGATGCGCACTGCTATGAATATAATCGTGGGACGCTTGTTGTTATTCATTCCTGGAACAGCCATAACTGACCTGATTTGATGTCTAGATGATAAACTGAAGCCAGTCGATAGCAAAGCGCCAATACCTTATCCGATTATTGCCGCTTTTCATAAAGCTTACGACGAAATATCGAAGGGCGACGATCGTGCCCGACGATTGCCATTGATCAATGATCTCGAAGGAACAGGTTATTTGGGTACGCTTCGCTACTTGAGTGGCAACTTTTTGTTGCTACTCTTCATAATCATACTCTAGCACTCCATTCATCTCAAATCGTTTTCGTTGCCAACCTCAAAATGGATCTGAAAATCTCCGAAAATGATTTGAGTCTGTTTACTGATTTAATGTCACTTCTGCTTGCCAAAAACTGATCAAGGAACTTATTATGTGCCAAAAATCCCCTAAAAGTTCACAGAAAAAGCCCATCCAAGGTATTCACTCACTTTATAAACAAATAATGAGATACTAGCCAAATCGTACTTATTGTTATGTTGTCTTCAAGAGTCACTCAATTTCAGAGCCACAAATAGATGTAAGGAACGAGCATCGAAGTATCACGGCTGGATCTGAAACGGCATTAGGTGAAACTCTGGGTATCGCAGAAACACCGCTGACAGATTCAGATGCCACGTCCACCAAACCGTTACTTCCAGAAAAAACCCTCAAAGCACCTGAAGCACTGAGTTGCATTCGACCGACTAGGTTGATCTCATTCAGATAATAGCGAAAACTCTCCTCTTGCAGAATAACGAATCCGCCAGTAATTCTGTGCTCAATTTTTCTCGTTTCGATTGATTTCACTTTGATTGCGACACCCTTCATTCTTCTAATTTCTGAATATTATTAGCTGGATCGGACCTAACATGGTTTTCATTCTTTTCCTTGATGTTCTAATCGCTCTCATGATTTATATCACCGAAACTGTTCTCTTCTGCTAATTTCTCATTCATTTCACTTAACAATTAAAGTCAAATTCTCATTCTATCAAATACACTCTATAATTGATCATNATTCTTCTAATTTCTGAATATTATTAGCTGGATCGGACCTAACATGGTTTTCATTCTTTTCCTTGATGTTCTAATCGCTCTCATGATTTATATCACCGAAAGTGTTCTCTTCTGCTAATTTCTCATTCATTTCACGNCTGAAAAGAATGAGAATCCATCTAAATCAGTTTGAAGTGAGCGTGTCATAGACAATAGCTTTTAATGCAATCAGAAAACTAATTCAGAATTCAAATCTAGCTTCAAAATTTGATCGTTTTCAACAAAACATTGAACTTCAGCTGCCGCAATCTCGCACCTCCACGACCAATGCTATCATCGACTTCCAATGTTCTCACTGTACCAACGAATATTGCAAGTAATACTCCTCCTTTATCGCCTGCCATTATGCGTGAAAATACCCCAACAAGCCTAACGGTACGTGAGTCTTATTTTGCTTCATTTTTCTTGCTGGTGTTACCGGATGTTCGAAGAAAAAATCAATGATCATTTATGCAGAGTGACTAATTTTAGACGGCTTATTTTCTTTTGGACAGAAGGTTTCCATTTTAGGCCTCTTCGATCAATTGTTTCTATTTACAAGAGAAGAAACATTGAAATTCCTATTTAAGACCTCACTTTTGAAGTTATTGTCGGAGTTTGTTTGTGTGATCTAAATGCGATCAAAATTTTTAGCGCCGTACTCATAATTTGATTTCAGCCCTCATATTTCACGATTGCTTCACAAATGTGTAGTTTATGAATTCAGTTTCACCAATCTCGAGAAATCGATTCCAACTCTAATTCCAACTTCCTAAGCACTCTCATTACAGGTACCAAAGGTGTGGGACTATTCGTCGCCATCATGCGCCGTAGCGCCGAGTGTAAATTCGAGCCATAGTTCGCACACGTCCGCAAGCGATGAGACATTGAGGTGGTTGTCTATGTGACTCTTCTAGTGTTCCGCATGAAGCAGTCTCTGATTATAAGCAAGACTTGCATCGTTACATGCAAATGAATTCCTTTCAGGCGAGTTTCAATGCACAGCTACGGTAGCAGTCTCACCGACGGTACGGACAGCACTTATGAGATTGATTCCAGGTGAGCATTCTCAGTGCTTCAGAATTTAGTACAGGACGGGTTTTCATGAAAATGGTGTTGGCGATAATAGGGATGATAATACTCATTTTAATGCTAGTCAATAAGTGATAATNGCACTTATGAGATTGATTCCAGGTGAGCATTCTCAGTACTTCAGAATTTATAACAGGACGGGTTTTCATGAAAATGGTGTTGGCGATAATAGGGATGATAATACTCATTTTAATGCTAGTCAATAAGTGATAATGATATAATATTACCTATCATATTATAGTAATATCAGTGACAACAATATTTGCTCTGAAACTATGCTTTCAGACGTTCAAGTGCGTGGTCGACAATCCGCACGGCCGTTCTAGCTCGTCACTTGGTGGCCAGCATTCATTCGAATCATTCCGACCCGGCCGTAGAACTTGACAAACAACAATGTTCACATGTTAATATGGCTCCTCCGAATGGTACTTATTCACAGAAGAAAATGTCGACAATGTCGCGTGGCAAATTAAGGCGCATTGCTAGACAGGTGCTATTTCTTGATGTGCTCCTTCCAATATTCATCCCTTTATTCATTTCTCTTGTTGTGCTGCTGATCTCTTATTATTGTTTCTGTCACTGTTATTTATTGAGGTCTTAATTGATATTCTGATTGGTTTTATCACAATTCAAAAGACTGCAGTGACCTTATAGTTTCCCTGTACTCTAGAGACAATTTAAATCACAAAACTGAAGAAGTATTCGATTTCTGTTGAGTGAAGTCGCTCTGAAACTGTTTGAGAACCTTATTGAATACTCATTAATTGATTGTCCTTCTATTGCATGAAGATCATCCGAAGATCACCTGACGAATTTTCTTCAGGTAACAAGAGCGATTCGACGCAAACGAAGAGAATCTTTGGCGATACGACGTGAATCTCGAGCCACTCGGGTTGTTGCTGCAATTCTAAGTTGGTGTTACCTCACTTTCCAGTTTTACATTATTTTCATTATATCTGGAAATTCGATTGCTCGGGATCAGCTCTGAAATTTTCAGAATCGGAAAGATGAATACTAAGTAAGCCAGTCAGATCAATTACGATCATGAAGCGTTTTGAATGAAACGGCATTTATGATCAGTTGTACGTACGAACTCTCAAATAATCAGTTTTCAGCTGCGTTTTTGATGTGTTGGATTCCGTATTTCTGCATTACCGTTTATCGTGGTATGTGCACCGGTATGAATTTTGCATTTGACAAGCACTTTCATATGCATTTATACGTGGTTACATCGTGGTTGGGCTATGCGCATTCTTGTTTCAATCCAGTCATATACACTTGCTTGAATCGCAACTTTCGGCGAACACTCCGCAAAATGGTTTGTTTTTGGTGTGATGCAAACGATAAAATGGCAGTGGTTGCGTAAAATGTTGACATTTTGTGAGCTTTCTTGACCGATCATCTCGCATGACTGCGATTATTCGCGATGATTCGTGCACAATGTGCATGTCCATCACATCGACAAGCACTGTTACTTCACAAACGCTTCCGTGTGAAGAAAGGATGCTCGTAATAAAATAATGACTAGTGTCACTACGATAAGTTGGTGATAACTACTTGAAGGGGTCTCTTTCACGCACAGTTGCGGCTGAAAATTCCAGAAACACGTGAAATTCCGGGAAAACTATCGTTTCCCCATTATCGTGTTATATTTTTTCCCTGTTAAATTAACATGTAATTAATTAATCGCATACAGCACCTCAATTGTCTCTTTGTTTCTGTTTTCACCATTAATATTTTGTTATTGCATTGAATTGACTGATGCAGTGAATGCACATGTGCATATAGATAACTTATTCGATAATATTCTTCATTAAAGAATGTTTAAGTTATATTTATGGCGTTCTGCACTGCAAATATTTTTACAATTACAAACACATAAACTGATATTCAACAATGCTCATATCACTCTTCATGAAAACAGTCGCAACAGCGAACAATAACGCGAAAACTTACTTCCTTAATCACTGTAGTGACCACTTAGACTGATTCAGTAGTGTGCATCTCGGTATGGTGCTAGTGTTTGCCATTTAGTTCTATCGTCAGTTTTATGGAGATCGGAACAATACGATGATCGAGGAACTGGAGTAAGCGTGCCACAGTCGAGTAGCCTACTAAGGAATGATAACACAAATGATAACCCGAATAGAGAAACGTTCACAATACGCACAGATAGGTCGGTGATTTGATCAATCTCCAAAATTTGATCAGTCCTCACAACGGAGCACGGTGTATTCTGTAGAGGTGAACGAGTAGGTGGCATTGCCTTATGCAGAAGATTTTGAGGGCTCGACAAGTTGAGAGGTGGCCATTTTTGTGAGTGGATGTCCACACTTCGGACAGTTCGTGCCGTCTTCGTTTGGTGTCCGACTGTTCCCATTGAGAAGATTTATTGTTGCTGTATCGTCAACCACGTCAACGATCGCGTGTGTTGGTACTGTCATACACTGCCGCCTAAAAAAAACTTATGCTCGACACAATATATATCATAAATCTTTTTCGAATGACTAGCTTACTGCTCAGAGATTCTCGGACATTCTGGATTGCCATAGAACCGGTTGAATGATTCCATGCGATAAATTTCAGCAGGAACTATTGAAAACATTAAATTTAGCAGAAATAATCTACATAAAACCAAAAGTTCCACTAATCGTGAGCAATTGAGATCGCACGGATTCGTATTTACTTATCTATTGATGATTTTCGCAAGCAATCAAAACTGCGCAATTAGCTTCCACACTACAGATTAATGGACTTGTCCAGCATTGTATGGCGAACTTACAAGAATGACTTCAACAACTCAGAAATATTAACAGCAGCAAAAGTTCTTGAGAATGAGCTAAACCTGGTTTGATTCCTTGTAAACTGTTCACTCACAAGACTGAGTCCCTTACGAAATTGAGTGTTCAGTTGTGCGTAGAATATCCAATTGAATGCCGCCGCAATGAACGGGAACATGTGACAAATGTACTGAATGGAAGATATATTTAAGCAAGGTGGAGTTGACGATTCCATCAATTGTAATTATACAAATAGAAAGAGACGACGTCAATTTTTTAAAGCTAACACAAGTAACAATCGAAAATAGCGACCGAGCGACACTCCAGGAATCGCCATTCAATTAAAAGACTTGAACGCGACGACAAAGTAACGAAATCAAAATTACATATGGAATTTAAAATAAAAAAACAATTAATAAATGAATATCTCATATGAACAGCTATTTTCACAGAATTGCAAAAAAGCTCTTATGAATTCATGGAGCTGAAGTGTGAAAGAGGTATTAAGACTTTCTGATCGGAAGAACCAAGAGAGCTGAACACTCGAGGTNAAAAAACAATTAATAAATGAATATCTCATATGAACAGCTATTTTCACAGAATTGCAAAAAAGCTCTTATGAATTCATGGAGCTGAAGTGTGAAAGAGGTATTAAAACTTTCTGATCGGAACAACCAAGAGAGCTGAACACTCGAGGTTTGACGAAAAGAATTGATCCATTAGTGTTCATTTGATGCTCGAAGATAAAGCGCTGATAATGTCAAGATGTTTGTGAAACTAGTTAAAAATCGTATGAGCTGAAAACTGAGAGCGACGAAAAGCTGTGAATGCATTTTGATCTCTTGGTATTACAGACTGACCAGGCAAACGTACCGTAACGGCTATAGTAATAACAGCATATTAATAGGTGGTAATCTTTACCGTAATTATCAGAATTTGCGGCGGTGGTCGTATGTGTGCAATTGTGAGCAGTGTACCGTAGATTTGAGTCAACCAAAATGGTGTTTGACATAAGAAATAGAAGACACTCACAACCAACGTATAAGTGGTAATTCGACGTATCGGTATTCGTGAACGAATCAACGATCTGAAGTCCGGAACGATAATCGTAGAGGAAACACAGGCAATCTTTAGAAATATATCAGCACGGGGTCAGTTACAATCAGCGAAAAATCAGCTCTGAAGATGTTCATTTCATTCCTCCGTCAAAACACGTGCTTATTATCTGCTTGATCACCATTCTGCTTAATGATCTACTTCAATCACCAACGGAAATAGGTCTGATTCACCAAATAATGAAAATAGGTCTGAATAATCAATTCGCTTCAGTTGTTCGATGCTCACTCCATCGTTCACCAAAATAAGGTGAAGCTATCGGTGAATAAGAAATAGCAAGCAAATGGTACACTTGACAGCTGCATCTTTAGAAAATAAGTAAAGGATCATTCACCTGTTATGTTTGCGCAATTTTAAAATTGTATTCGCATAGAAGAAACTGAGTAGCGTTCCAGGCAGAAGAAAGCCGAACAAAAAAACGTAAAGTGAGACCCACATTCGCATGTCACGTTTCATTCCATCCGTACACACTTCTTTCGATATACTCAGTATGCTCTGCAAAAACAACACCTTCATATAGCACAAATATTTTATTTTTCGGGCAAAAAAGTCCCGGAAAGCTTCTTATAAATTCCCTAACGATAAGAAATTAGCAACTCTCAATTATCCAAATTAATTTACACAGGATGTTTACGAAAGTTCCACTTTAGATTACATGCGGATGTAACAGGGATAGATTCATTTCTTTTTCCGCCGATCAAACCAAGAACTTATGTGGAAATGAGACTCTCCCACGAAAATGGTCTCGATGACGCATGTGAATGAATAATTTTACAGTTGCACATCAACTCGCAAGCTTCTGATGAATTAAGGCAGCACTGAATGTTTGCAATAAAACCAATGACAAGAATCGCTTGTTGAAGCATAAATCATTCGATGAACAACTTACGCCATCTACAGCGATGTATTTATCACCGAACGTTATTCGTACCACCTTCGCTGAATATACAACCGGTATTAAAAGTGCCAGAGCAATTGCAAGTAAACTGATTATGATGAATAGAGTTTGCTTTACCCGATGTACCTGAATAGATTTCAAGTCGATTCCCATTCTTCCACAACAAGTTGAATCATATATTGATTAGCAACTCGTTGCTAATAATTATGGAAGCATTCGTCATGTTCATTCTTCAAAATGCATTCACAAGAATGGTTTAATAGCCAAAACATCTTGAAGAACTGCTTGGATTGTGCTTGATGAGTCCACCGTGGATAGTGTGCAGCTGAACTCGAATTTAAGGTTTCAGTTAACTAAAAATTCTGAATCACCAACCCGAACAAAACCTGGATGACATACTGCCATATAGCGATCAAACGCCATTGCAGTTAGAATGAACGTCGAACATACCTGGATCAGTGTAAATGTTTATATTCTTATACTTATACGAGCGTGACATGGCTAACTTAATAACTTATTCATGAATCCACTGATGAATGTTTATGCTAAAGTGCATCACATGGCGAAGCATGTAACAAGATGTGATTTGGTGATATTATTGACTGTTTTAATGATGAAACTAACTAATCGTAAGAGAAATAATGAAAAATGTATTCGAATTTTCTCTAAAAATAGGTAATAACATTCGCTCATAATGAAGATTACTCTCAATTGGAAAAAACAGATTGAATGTCGTGAATCTCACGCTAAGCTATTACCGTCACTTTTATCGTTATGTTTATCGCTATCATTTGAATATTACCACTATTTATGACTATATCAAATTAATATTTATGACTATATAAATTAATATTCATGACTATATCAAAATGTCAGAACAGAAAGCCAATCATCATGAATAATTTTGATTATATCACATTCTGTCACGCATCTTACCTACCGCATCGGAAACCGTTTCCGATTAATGATCGAATCATGCTTGTTGATTGCTAATGGAAATCGCATGATTCTGAATATTATTAGAATGTTATAACTGTCAGTTGCCCTTAAAAAGGTAAATAAACACCGGAACGAATGAATAAACACGATACATTTCCTGTTCAATGAGTACACTTTAAGAGTGAATGCGAAAACGATAATTTCCTTAAGCGATTTGCGATCAGTGCTTCTGTTCACTACGCTCAGAAGACGCATTTCATACTCACCTTATTTGACATTTCGAGAATCCAATAAATTTTACACATTGTATCACCGAACAACCAATTATCCATAATCATTGAGGTCATATGAAACGGTATTGACATTACCACCATTAAATCCACCAGCGATAATGCTACTATATAGATGAATGTATTGCCTAGCGTCAAAACTGATGACTTCAGAGATCTGTAATTGCTATTCAGTGAAACTTTTACTGGAACTTTACCACGAAGTTCATGCTGACGATTGCTCAAATATCTTGAGCATCACATACAAGATTGCATGACTGACAAGTTTGCATGAATGATCTCTGCATTGATATGATCTCGTTCGATACTTTATTCGTACAATCAATCGCTATTTCAATCCACCCGTTTCAAACAATTTCAAACAAGATTTCAACTCAATCCATCCATTCGATCATTGACTGTGGTGATTTCACAAAGGTAACGGAAATTCAGATTCCCCTATGAATTAATATTAAAGCACGTTTGGAACGGCGAAATCAATCGGATTTGAGAACGTGAACGAACCTCGTAAGAAAGAATGCATACGTAAGAACCGCAGTGTTTCCAAGAATACCAACCATGAAGATCAGCGAGTACGGTAACGCAACGATCATAAACTGTGCGCCGTGAATTGGTGGTGGTGCTGTTGACATACTGAAATTTCATGACGTTCACTCGGCTGATCGGTTCCGTTTTCTGTTCAATCAACTTGTAATTCTGCTCGAATTTCTTTCAGAGAAATTCACTGCACACAAGCGCTGTTTGCACTCTTCTGATCCCCCCATCGATTCAGAAGCGCTTCTGAAATTAGAATGGACCCCGTCTAATTCAGAGTTCGACATGCATTAATGCACTACGCATGTGCTTTTCCCTCAAAACAGCTTTTTAGGTCCACTCTCAACAGCAATATTCTCTCTTACTCATTATCGCGCTCTCTGTTCGATCCACTTCAATTGATCAAATATAAAACCACATTTGCAATGAAAAAAAAACGAACGAGCACATTAAGCTAATGAAGCAGCATGCCTGAGCATGCAAAAAAAGACCATTGGAAAATGGATGTTTCGGAATGTTTAATTTTTTCAACACGTGCGAAATATGACAGTTTTGAAGCCGAGATGCAAATGCGTATGTGAATTAAATTCACTTAATTGAATTATTTTCTGCAAACTAATTCATAGATTGAAATGTGCTTTTGATTCGCAGAATGAATGCTGTTGTGCATCTGTACTGTGATGGAGTTAGATAAATGCCGAAAATCTTGAAAATGGGTGCTCTCCAGCTGAACAACACATAATTTCCAAATCTCGAACTATTTTCACGACCACAAATAATTAGTGTGCTTGCTTATAAAACACATTTTATTCGCTACTCCATCATGCAGCCGACGATTGAAAGAATGAATGAATGACACAGAATAATTTTAGTATTCTCGGGCAAACAGAAGGAAGGAAGTATCGTTCGAGATAACAATTCGTCTGTTCTTTGCCGCACTGTTCTCGACACATTCGTATTTCTTAATTTCCTCCTCGGCAATTGGCCGGCTGATCAACTGAAGTCATTTCCTATTGCTTCTGAGGTTTCCGTTCTTCGCGGAATCCAATTACAGTGTTTATTGCGTATCCGACAGATGGACAAGCGAGAGGTAGATTTTCGATAACACTTGGAAATAATCTTACCTTGATGGACGTGTTGCGTTCACTTCTACCATTGCGGTGCCGAGCGTTTGGCCAGCTTTGCTTGCAGATATAGGAATTATTGATTCAGCATGACTGTTAAGTAATGAATATTTTATTTATTTAGGAACACTTCCAACTTCACTTTATCACACGAATAATCACTGATGATGAAGAGAGATTAGCGACGTTCTCCACACAGCTGTGCTGAAAGCAAACGAATAATCCGATCCGCACCCATTTTGCATCACTTACTAATCGAGTATCGCATTTATATCCAAACCATATCTATTCCACAACGCACGGCAACTGCAAATTTGCAAAAACAAAACAGATAATTACTACGAGTAAAATCCTCCATCTTAAGAACAAAACTAATTCATCAAATATTGTTCTCAGCATCAAAATATATATCTGAATTCACTAGAATGTGTCAATATACAGGCAAGTATTGCCGCCTGAATTCGAATCATCCACAGGTTTCATCAGAAGTTCATGAAGCTGACTTAAGTCATTGAAGTGAGATGACACATGATGATGTGATCTATAAAATGGGATTAGATGTGCAATGCGGAGGCCCGAACTATCAAACGCTTGATAAGAGGATAATAGTTTTGAGTTGAAATTCTTTGAAAGCGTTTTGAAACAGAAGATTGACTGTCAGCATTAAATACCAATGAATTCCACTGAATTATGGAACATTTTCGGAATGAATCGATTCGATCATGTTTCACATAGCCATATGACATCAGACACACATTGAGACATAGTAACCGAATTCGAAGAAACGAAACATCACACGCATCCTGCGGTGATTCTTTTTGGGAATGTCATCACGAGATCCAACACATTCTAAGTTATCGAACAAAGACGCTGCTACTGTAAGCGTCAGTTTTTTGCAAGTCACGAAATATCTGCAAACTACCGAGAATTGATAATCGTATCACATAAGAATCTACTTCATTGGCCCGTTTCGGTTTCTTATAAAATCGCTGAAGCAGTCAGTACGTGACAAAGAAGTGTTTTTTAAACAAAATGCTGATTAGGAATTATTCAAAAGGACATTAGAAAAACTTGAAATGAATTAACAATACTGACTAACAATCTCGATGAAAACGTGCAACAACTCGTTAAAAACCACTATCTCTCAAGGTTTTCAGCCAAAAAATTTGAGCCAATTTGAAAATTTCAAATCCATGTGACCACATTCAAAAAAACCACAAAACATCCAGGGATTTACTCATGGAGTCTCTTGAATAAAGCGTTATACCGCTCACTTCAATGATCTTTCAATCAGTTTGTCGCTTATCCTCTCAACCTTAAGTATTATACGTATCTTTCAATCCAAGCTCCACCCCAAACAATTTTTTTCGTTCAAAATTCCTTTTAGCTGTGGTCACATCATATGCTGCTACATGAGAAGCGGAGCAGATATTTCTGTTTACATAGGTTATGCCTAGCTCAAGACAACTGGTCCTTTAAAGTCGTTCAAAGAAGTTGAATGCATTACGAACTTATCAGCCTCTTTAAGTTGTTTATTTCAGCTAATTCCCGTTAATAAATCACGTTATCGCATGACCAATCCGATTCTGAAATTGGCGAATCAATCAATCAGCAGCAGTAGGCACATCGCCTAGATCTGTCTTCATGCGAGCCGTTTCTTGAAGGTTTCAACTGAATGTTGCATTTTTAGTTGACGACATTTTCAGTCTGACGACTACATAAAATTGTCCAAAAGAGAAACGACTGGTTAATGAGAGAACAAAAAAAAAGTGAAATCCATCGAATTTTACAACACCCACACGCTTATAACAACTTCGTCTAGAGTCTAGACGACCAGAAAGAACCGGAAGGAATGCTTTCAAGCAAATAAATCTTCTGAAGCAAGAGCAATATTTCAGTCTGAATTCCATTTCAGTTCGTTCGAATGTAGTCCGAATAACACACAGCCGAATATCGCTATACAAATATCTAATCACCTAAACAATAGTCCATTGAAACAGGAATGCGGTAAACACGAATTAGGATGATCATTTATCCTCAGCAGTCATTTCGTCGTAATGGGTCAATTTCTTGGTACAGAAACGATTATTCCGACCAGAAAAACAATCGAAATAAACGAAATTCGAGCATCAACTCTCAAATTTCATGCGTATGTTTCGAATGAGCGAATGCGAGAGTGGTTCGAGAGAATCGATCATCTGAATGACCACAAATAAACGTGTAGCGCTTGATCAGTTGTCGTTGCCCTCGCCATGTGTTTTGCTTCTGATGATTGATGACAGAATCGATTCATTATGAAGTGATCACAATGTCACCAAGAAGACATCATGCTTATTCTTAAATGACGATGTTTCGAGGATGACAAAACAAAAGCGGTGACGTTGCTGCGTTGGTGATCAATCATGCCGACGACACTGAGAAGCGATAACGTTCTGGATGAGTGTCTTCATCAAGTCAATGCCAGAAACATGCACGTACGTATGAAACCATCATGAAAATGTGAACGGGTGACGTGAATCTGTGTCTAACTCGCTGGCCAATAAACATTCACTTGAATTCGATCAAGAATCATGAATAATTGAGTTATTGGTACGAACGGCATTGAGGATGAAGTACTGAAATGAGGTTATCAAACAATTATTGGTAGATCTAATTTGTGAACTGATTTTTTTTTGTTGCGTTTGACATTTACAACTAACTACTCGGTGTTGAGAGCATGTGTCGCACTTGAACTGAGCTTAATCATGACGAAATCTCTTTGCGAAAACATCAATTAACTGCCATTGTTCCAAGAGAAGTGCAACTTCTTGATTAAACGTTAATGACGACATATAAAAGTAGAGCGCTTGATCAGTTGTTGTTGCCCTCGCCATAAGTTTTGCATATGACGATTGATGACAGAATCGATTCATCATGCACTGATCGCAAAGTCGCGAAGAAGACATCGTGCTTATTCTTAAATGACGATGTTTCGAGGATGACGATGCAAACCGTTGCTGGGTTGGTGATCTAGGAACATAGAAATTGCTCTACAATGGGAAACAATTACCACGAATTTCGTTACGAAATCTGTTGGCAACCGTAAAATTATTCGTGTTGGTTTCCTGTGTAATTTTACAGACCTTTATAGGTTTAATGGAATTCAATTTTCAAACGGATATGCATATGGGAACAAAGAAGGAAATGCCAATTGACTGCTATTTGCGGAAAATTGAGAATTTCTATCGCAACCTGTCAATGTTTATCACCTATATTCGAAAATAGGATTTTTCCTATTTCGTTCCAATTTCACATTAGAATGATATGTCAGTCCAACGAAATTGCTGGATCTTAGGTATTTCTAGGAACTTGATAGTTCATTTCAGACATCGCCTAGGAAAAACGCAATTAAAAATAATTTGAATCATTCAGAGCTTATTTCATCCAATTTACCGGCCAAACGTTTAATTCTGAACGAAAGTAACCCTAAGTGAATCGTAAACATCTGCTCATCAGAATGCCAATGAATGCAGAAACAAGATTGACACATTCGTGATGCAGATTGAAATGTTTCTCAGGCTAAAACCTCCTTCCTCTTGGAATTTGTATTCGTCGCAAGATTGCAGAACTAATTAAGCTATCTTTTTCGCCTCTATAAGCAATACGTCTTGAGGCTTTCAATTCAGCACATTTTCTCAGATAGCCTTTCAAAATACACAACTTTACGATGTAAAATGGGAATTTCACATGCTTGCATGACCGACTTTACTTCAGTTCTCGTTGAATTACCATTGTATTCTGTTCTCGAATATCACTGCGCATTGTAGTGAAGGGGTCGTCATGTGAGACTGCAAAAAAATTCGCTGATTCGATATGAAATTCTCTATTTCCACGCACAAAAACAAAGCATCGTGAATACAAACGGCTAATTGGTGGCTGTGTGATCATTGAGAATGCATCAATTGATGCCGAACAATATTTGACTAAAAAATTTT